GGCGGCATCGGGCGCGGCAAGGAGCTGAAGCTGCAGGTGAAGCAGCCAGCGGCGGGCGCGGGGGCCCCGGCACAGCCCTTCTTCCCGTTCCTGCAGCAGCAGGAGCCGGCGCCCGGCGCGCGCGAGCTGTCGCCGGCCGACGGCTGCGTCCTGGTGTGCGCGGTGTGCCGCTGCTTCCTGGGCGAGCAGTGGGCCGCCTTCGAGCGCGCCCGCACGCCAGTGGACAAGCGCATGTACTGGCTCAAGCGGCCCCACCAGTGCGATGCGGGCGCGGGTGGGCGCCGCGGGGGCGCCGGAGCCCCCCGGGAGTGGAATGTCGCCTACGCGCTGGGCAGCGCCGCGGACGACGACGACGACGCGAGCGGCCCCCGGCTCCGTGGGGCTGCGGAGGAAACACGGGACTCCGACCTGTCGGAGCTGTCGGACACCGACCCCCTGTCCGAACCCGACCCAGCTGCGCGTGACACCGCCAGCCCCCACCAGGACCGGGCACCAGCGCTGCGGGCCACCCCGGGGCCAGGGCCTCGTGGGGGCCGCTGCCAGGAGTGGAGGCCGGCGTCAGGACCTCTTCCCGGACAGGGCTCAGAGCCCCCAGCGCAGGAACGCGTGGAGGAGGAGGAGGTGCCCTCGAAGATCCCAGTGGATGGGGAGTCCAAGCCTAGCGTTAGGCGCCGGCGGAAGGGGGTCGGGAGGCCCTGGGCCCCTGAGGCCCGGGCCAGCGTCCTGAGGGGCATTCAGGACCCTTGGCAAGGTCCTCCTGTCCAGGAAGCCCCTGCAGATGGCATGAAAGGAGGCCCCTCGGGCAGGCCCACCAAGCCTGGGGACAGCAGGCCACTGGTGGAGACTCTCGGAGGCTTCTGCACCTCTTCAGACAGCGACATCAACATCACCAGTGGGGAAGAGGACCACAAAGAGCAGCCTTTCCCAGGCCCCTGCGGCCCCAAAGAGAAGGAGAATGGTGGTCGGCCCCTCCGGGCTCCCCCGGAGAGCCGGGTGGCGCCACCAGAGGGCCTTTGCTGCTATATCTGCGGGTCAGCACTGTCTCCAGCCTCGCAGCACCAGATCCACGTGCAGAAGCAGGAGAAGCTGGCCCAGGCGCCCTTCTTCCCCTTCCTGTGGCTGCACAGCCCGCCCCCCGGGGCACAGCCCATCAGCGATGGTGGCAGCACCCTGGTGTGCCCCTGCTGTTTCTCGTCCCTCATGCAGCAGTGGCAGAGCTTCGAGCTGGCCAGCGTACCAGTCCTGCAGCGACTCTATGTGGTGCCCCTGAACAGCCGTGCCCCTGGCATGGCCTGCAAGGGCAGGAGGCTCCCAAGGGAAGAGGGCTTGCCACCCGGTGCCCTGCGAGAGGCCTGCTACCTCTGTGGGGAGGACTGCACCCAGGATGCCCGGGCAGTGCCCTTCAGGGCCCTCAATGGCAGTGCCCGCAGCGTCATGCATTTCCCCTTCCTCAGCCTCCTGCCCTGCCCGCCCAACGCCCAGGGCCCCAACAAGCGCTGTGAAGTCCGCAGCTGCCCCAAGTGCTTCAGCGTCCTGGAGGACGTCTGGGCCCTGTACCGGGCCTGCCAGAATGAGGCACTCATCACCTCCGTGCAGGGTTTCTTGGGCAGGTACCACCAGGCCTTCTCCGGCTCCGACCCTGCCCTCTCTGAGTCACCCATGGCAGCCCAGGGTGGCCCCTTGGCTGTCTGCTATATCTGCGGGGCTGAGCTTGGACCCGGGAAGGAATTCCAGCTCAACGTGAATCCTGCCAGCCGCTTGGGCGAGAAAGAGCCCTTCTTCCCCTTCCTCACCGTTTACCCACCAGCTCCACGAGCCAGGCCTGTGGATGCCACCGGCCTGGTGGCCACCTGTGTGCTCTGCTACCATGACCTGCTGGGCCAGTGGCTGCAGCATGAGGCCCGAGGCACCCAGCACGCTGTCAGCGCCTGGTCTCGGCAGTACCAGGTGGAGACGTTCGTGTGCTTCTTCTGCCAGCAGGAGAAGAAACGCTGCTTGGGGCTGAAGTCTGTGCGGGTGGCCCGGCTGCCCTTGTTCCTCTACACCCTGCGAGCCAGCCACAGCCTGCTGGTGGACGATGGACAGCAGCTGATCATCGGCGCCTGCGTGGAGTGTGGGACTCTGGTGTGTGCCGGCCAAGGGCTCACCCGTCAGGGACCCATGGGCTGGAGCTCCCCAGTGGCTGCAGCGACAAAGGTAAGCAGCAGTTTCCTCTGACATCTGTACAGGGAAGGGAGATGTTGTTTTCTGTTCCTCTGAAAGACTCTGAAGAAGTTTTCCCTGGTTCTTTGCAGCATATTCTAGGAGAGGTGTCCTCCAAGGGTCATTGGGATGGTGCTTGGGGGGACTATGTTGGTCTGGGTGATCTTGGAGGTATGGGGCAGAGGGTCAAAGGAGCTGGGGGTCAGAAGTGGTTTTATGGAAGAATAAGGCACTGCGGAGAGCAGCAGGCATAGGTCTGAACCTGGGTGTGTTTGTGGCGGAATCTATCAAACAGAGGAAGTTTCGGGCATGTCTGTCATCCGCCTGATAACATTGGTAATTAGGCCAGCCGTGCAGGTCAGGGAGAGGTCTCTGTGCTTGCCTGGTTGAAAGACATTGGAGGCGGGAGTTCCTCTGCCCTCTAGTTCTCGGGGTGGCTTAGCTTTTCCAGAGTTTTCCATCCAAGTTCACACTTTTCCTTTGAGACTCTGGCTGCTGAACAGCAGACAGAAGTAGGTTTCCAGACATGCTGGTGGGGAGCTCTAGGGACAGTGGCCTGCCCAGACTCTTGCCCCAGTGGGAAGAGAGTCTTTTCTCTGTAAGTCAGCTGTGCCGAAGGTGTTGGGTCCTCCCTGTTTATATGGAGCGGGCCTTTGACCTGCCTACCCCGGGGGCGGGGGAGCTGGATGGGCCTCTGTTAATTCTGGATCTGCTTTGCAGGGGTCCAAGCAAGAGCTGACTCTGGTTGGTCTGGGAAAGTAGATGTCTGTGAGTGGTAGTCACCATCCTAGCCACTGGGGCCGTTTTAATCAAATGCACGTAGTGGTAGCTGCTGGACAGGGGCCAGCAGAGGGACGTTTGGACAGGGAAGGCATCCCTATCCTGTTCCTCCTTTTGAGAGCTTCCAGCTCCTGCCTCTTACATGCATGCGTGTAAGCGTGTGCGTGGATATCTGGGTGCCTTGTTCACTCATGTTGGCCGCATCCGTGTGGTGGGCCTGGCCACGTGTTGCCCACCTTGTCCAGGGGCAGAGCCCCATTCCTGCTTTGCCCAGCTCCCCTTCCCTGCTGATGTACTTTAAAGCCATCTTAGGGGCTTTGCGAGGAGGCCCTCTCATTTTAATTGAAAGCACCCTCCGTGGTGGATGCCAAGCCTCTTGTTTGTGGTGTGTGGCTGTGTACCTGTGGGCTGCTACTGGGAACTGGAAGAGCTGCAGCTCCTAAAAGGGCCCCGCTGGGAGAAGGGCCCCAGTTTTGGAGCAGGACAGACTCAGGTTCTGATTCTGTCCTTTCTCTTGGTAGCTGAGTATCTGTAAGTCTCCTTGGTCAGGAGGCCGGAAACATATACCACCGGCCTTGTGGGACCATCGTGAGAATTAATAAATCGGGAGATCTTTAAATGCTCCCTGTCAAGTGCTTGGCTCACCGTCAGACCCGCACATCTGACATGTCGGGGCAGGTTCTTTCGGGGTGCAGGGCAGTTCTGTGTCCAAGGTCCTGGTTTGCTGGCCATGGGCCTCTCAGGCCAGCCAGGCTGCTCTCTGTGAGGTCTTTGGGGGGTTTCTGCACAACATTTGACTCTGGTGGATTTTCTCACGCTGTTCTGCTCAGTGTCTGGAGATGACAAGATACCCCTAGGAGCCTCCACTGGTAGGAACTCAAGGAAACAGAAATGGCAGTGCCCTGGGGCCAGCTGGGAAGGCAGAGCTGAGAGGGGGCTGGTGCAGAGACACCTGGGAGCTGGCCTCCCCCAGGAGGGGTCAGCGCCAGTGTGGGCGGGCTACCGTGTGGGGACTTCACACTATTCTCAAAAACAAGTTGTCTCGATGGCTTTTCCCCATGGCCCTGTGGGGACTTCTTGTTCCCATGCTATGATGACTCAGTCAAGACTCAGAGAACTCATAGGACCTTGGTGCTTATCACACAGCCAGAAGAAGCTTGTTCTTCTGATCCCTGAGCCTGAAGGAGGCAGGGCTTGAGTTGAACCTTGGGAAGCCAGAAGGATTTGCTGGGATGGTGCAGAGCAGACAGAAGGCCTAGAGACAGGGCAGATCCTCGCAGCCTCCAGGGGCAGTAAGGTTGGAGTAAACGTGAGGCCTTGAAATCAGAAATAGGAGGTTGGACTTGAAGTTGAGGACCCAGGGGGGCAATACCAACTTCTTGAAAGCAAGTGTGGGACGATGGGGAAGAGCCCCATGCAGGGCCAGGTGGTGAGGCCCCAGGGGCAGGCCTGCCTGAGTGGGGACAGTAGTGCTAGGCCCCACTGGACACAGGGAAAAGAGAAGCTTCACCTCCTGGCTCCCAGGAGCCTCGTATTGACAGCCAGTAGAATGCCGGAAATGCAGCCCTCTGGCCTTCCTTCCTCCCTGCCCCTCCTTCCTATTCATTCAACGAATATTTATGGAGCGCCTACTCTGAGCCAGGCGCTGTTCCAGACCCTGGAGATCTAGTGGTGAGCATGGGGCCTCCTGTGCCACAGGGGAGGTGCAGACACAGAGAGTCTGCAGATCTCAGTGCCTTGGAGAAGACCATGGGGTGGGGGCCAGGTGCATGTGGGCATGGGGCATGAGAGGTCACAACGCAGGCTGGGCAGGACAGGAGGGGGTTCCCAGCAATACAGGGCTGTCAGGGGAAGAGGGGCCTGTGAGGCAGGCCACTAGGGGAAGGTGGGAAACTCTGGGGGCCTGTTCCCTAGCTGGTTTCCTGATGCCTGAGGGCTCTTTGTTTGGTTTGAGAATTTGGGTGGGAGTGAGCAGGGGCCTGGGGAGGTGGCCGCAGGGAAGCTATGTAGCTGAGGACACAGTGTGTTCCGGAACCTGCTTCTGTGCTGCCTCCTGTGACTCCTCGGTTTTCCCTGTTAAATGTTCATTCATTAGTGAATCAGCTTTAAAACATTGCAAAAGGAAATGGAAAAAAAAAAAGGGAAGAAGAAGAAAAAAAAAGAAAAGAATGGAGAAGGAGGCAAGCTAACTCGCTCCTCTGATTGGGGTTGATTTGAGGCCCTTCTGGTCCCCTGCAGAGCACCGTGTTCTGGAGGCCCAAGTCCCTGCTCACTGCTGTGTCAGGACTTGGGCCTCCAGAGCACAGTGCAGGCTGAGCTGGGGAGGGTGCAGGCTGAGCTGGGGAGGGTGCAGCCTGCCCTTTCTGGGCCTGACATCACTCCCCAAGGAAGAGTCCCAGCAAGCTTACCCCCAGAGGTCCGTGAAACCATGGAAAGACCCTGAGTTTGACTTAAGGCAGACCTGCCTTGAATCTTCCTTCTGTTGGGAGTTGGCTGTGTGACCTTGGGTGAGGCTCTTACCCTCTCTGAGCCTGAGCTGTGGTCCCTGAGAAGCATGGATGATCTTTCCTCTGCCTTGCAGTAGGGCTACACAGTGGTTCCTTTCTCCTTCCCTGGGATGCCAGCGGCTCAGTGTTGAGTCTGTCACTGGCATCCCTGAGCTCTAATGTTGGCACCTGTGTCCATCATCATTCTGCTGTGGTGGGGACCGGCCATCCTTCCCTTCACAGCTAGAGGCAGGGCTGGCCAGGATGTTGGAGGTCGTGTTTGGGATATAATCATGAAGGAGGTCTCTCTGTAGAGGGCTGTCCGTGCTTGGCCATGCCACAGGCATCACCAGTGTTATTCACACCTACTGAATCCTCATACAACCCTGTCTGGTGCTGCTATCCACTTTTTGGAGATGAGAAAACAGGTCCAAGAGAGGTCAAGTAACTTGTCCAAGGTCATTCAGCTAGTGGCAGCGGAACCAGCGTTGGACCTGGAGTCCAGCTGTGCCCCAGTCTCTCCTCTGTCCTGACTCTCTCTTCACTCTGGGCTCCAGCTGTGAGGTGGCAGTGCCTTGGAGGGGGTGGCTTTCTATTGCCCCATGTGTGCCCAGCCCCTCCCCACCACAGCCACTGGAGCCTCTCAGCTGCAGGCATTCACGTGCGTGGGGCAGAGGCCTGGGAAGCCCCTCCAGCTGCCTCCACTGTCCTCTAGTTTCTTTGCCCGCTGCTAAGTGTCACCCTGTGCCTTTGCGCTGTCAATATTATCCAGGTGTTGAGATCTCAGCTGGGACCTTCCTTCTGCTGTTGGGAGAGCCCGCTCCCAACCAAGATGGGCTTACTGTGTGATCTGCTGGCTCTCCTTACAAGCCGGTTGGCGGGCAGGCCGCCCTTGCCTCCCCCGGGGCTTTGTCTGGGGAGTGTTCTGGTTAGCAGAGCGTGCAGCTGTTTACCTAGCCGCACCCTGGCCTCTCGCCGCAGGATGCCCTGGCCAAGCCCCCGAAGGAGCATGGCCTCTGGGCCTGGAACAGGTGTTGTGCTGCAGCCACCTTTCTTTTCTCAGCGTGGACATCTGAGGTCTGCAGAACGCGTCTGTCATCACTCGTCTGTCAGGGCCGCACGCACATCTGTTTCCCGTGTTTCCTGGCTATCTGCGCCCACACAGCTCCCTGCTCTCCAGGACCAGGCTCTCAGGACACCTGGTTGGGACGGACTGGATAGGGGGGACCTTCTGGAAGATGCCAGGGGAGGTGGCCTGACTGCGACTGGAACAGGCACCCTCTCCTTGGCAGCAGCTGGAAGGTGACTGGGCTTTGGGCCTTTTTTGAACTCCCACCACCTCCTGCAAGGGGGAGGTCTGTGCTTTTCTTGGCAGGTTGGGAGCCATCTGTTCAGAGGTGTGAACTTTCCAGGCCAGCCCTGTCCTAAACCTGCAGGCGATTGGAGACAACTGGGGGAAAGAGGAAGTAAAGGCGAAAGGTCTTAAAAACTCAGCCTTCCCTGGAAGCAGGAGCAGCGAAGGAACTGGGTTGGAGGAGGGGCTAGAGACTGCAGAGCTTCCTGGCACCTCCTCTGCTAGATCTCTCAGGATCCCACTTTTGTGAGGGTAACTCTGTTGGGAGCATCTCTGGGTCATTTGTAGCCTCTGGGCACATTTTCTTGGCTAAGGAAAAGCCCAAGTCCAGGATCCAGGGCCCTATTCTGCCTGAGGTCCACTTCCTGGCGGGA